GAAATAATCCTTGATGTGGTTTAGAACAGGATGGCGTTTTATCACAGCAGAATTTAACTTTATCTCCGGTAGAATTCTGATCAGGCATTAGCTCCGCCAGACGACCTTTTATAACGCTCCCCTTAAAACCCTGCTTTTTACTTAAGAACCCAAATAAACTATTCCAGGTTAATGGAACCCCCTAACCACAGGAACCACATTTAAGACCTCAATAAGAAACCTCTTAACTTTGGGAACCCCCTTAACTTTGGGAACCCCCTTACAACCTTTAGGAGTCACTTAAACGTTCAAGAACTCAACTTTAGAAGCAGAACCCCTTGGAATAAAAACCCTGAAACTCTTTGTAAGATAAGATAAGAAGTACTTCAAACCTCAGTAACCCCCTTAATGACAATTGAAGAACACCTAAGAGACACTTAAACCTAACTTTGAACTCCCTGTTGTTTGACGGCAAACTAAAGAGAGCATAGTGCGTTAGCAGCTTTTTGAAAGTGCTCTTATATTCAGAAGAACATGAACGGAGTCTGGTTGATTCAGCTTGAAGTTGGTTATTGAAATAAGACGTAAGGAACTGTCCTGTACGGCAAGTAACAGTTTTAATGTGTCTGGTTTGGTTTCTCTGTGAGCATGTACGTTGTGTTTTAAAGTTGAACTTCGTGGTTGATAGTTGACCAACAAACAAGTCAAGGAAGGCAACCTCGCTTTCATCCGTCACAACGCAAATGTAAGTCTTTAATGCGGTTTACTCTTGGGTTGATTGGGTGTGTGGTATTTGATGCCCTGTGTTGTTGGTCATTTAAAAATAATAATAATAATAAAATCTGGTTTGTTTGTAAGTTAGCCAACAAAAGAACAAACAGACTGCCGGAAAACACTCAACTGGATCCTGGTTTGGTTTGAAGTCCCAGGCATCGTTATCTACATTTGTTCTATTTCAACAACCAACACGAGCCACTTCTCTTCGCTTCCTGTTGAAAAATCCACCTGCTGGTTTTGTTTGAAAGGTTTAAAGCGAAGAAATCATAAAAATCTGATCAGAAGTCAGACAGTTCGTGAAGAACCTGCAGGTGGAGTGGAGGCAGGGGGTTCTCTCTGAGGCTAAACGGATTCATCTGCACCTCCTCCTCCTCCTCCTCCTCCTCCTCCTGATATAAGCAGAGTCGCTGATCGGTCCAAACTCAGCTCACATCCTCAGCTTCTGTGAGCAAACTAACAACAACAACAATAAACAAACACGCAGTATGTTTAGTGCACTGAGTCACAGAGGAGCTGACAAACAAAACAGCAAGTTAAACTACCCCCTTTCCAAATGAGAGCATGACGGAAAACAACAATGAACAACATTCAATTTAACGCATGCAGAATGTTGGTTCGTTTTCACACTCTTACTCCTTTTATTATTGCTATTATTATTATTATCATTTTAAATGTTTGAACTTGGAGGTAATAGCTTGAGTAAAAGTACACTTGTGTGTTTTTGTAGGAACTCAAAGCCAACAGTTCTTCTTTAAAGGCCATGAGATGTGACTGAACATCTGAGAAAAAGCCAAGTTGACCTGGTTGGTATTTTAAGCTCAATTGTCCTCAATTATGATCATTTATGCATTTTCAACCGAATAATACACTATAATAATGCAATTGTCAAAACAAATACTACTGTGTTGTGTTTTCATGTTTCCCTCTGTTTCCTAAAATACAAGTAAACTCTGAAGCTCCCTCTGCCTTTAGAAATGTCAGAAACATGTGCCATTATATCGCAAAAACCACAACGATAGGCTAATGTGAGAAAGTAGGAATACGTATTTTACAAAAACCATTTGAGAGTAAAAGCATTAAGTAAAAAAAGACTAATTTAGATCAATTTAAAAGACATTTAATTATTTTTTAGTGAGATCTGATATTTTCTCTTTTCAATCAGCTTCGTCTAAAATCTTCAAACTGAAATAAAATCATACTTTTACTTGTTTTCCAGGATTTCTGTCGTGTTCCTTCTTCCTCTGTCTAATATCTACATTATACTTATTATTATTAATCGTCAGAATCTGAGCCTTTTCTTAATATCTCAGAGCAGAAAAGGGCTCTTCGTCTGTGTCTCGCTGCGGAGCTCCGGCTCGGTGACGCTTCGGGGTTTCGGTGCGTGAACACGGCTCCAAGGGTCCGAGACCTTCCGCTGGTCCTCCGGGGGAACAAGTGTCCTTCGTTTGGAGACAGAAACTTCGGTTGGTTTTTTAATCCGGAAGAAATCTCTCGTTTCTGAGGAGATTTCTGTCTTTCATTAAAAAGGGATTTTCTGTCACATTTTGTCACTTTGGATGGAAACACTTTGCGTTTTTCTGTCTTTGTTGGACCCAAGAAAAACCCAAGAGAGTTGAATTAATTTCTAATCTGCCTCAAAATCGTTAGACTATTTAGTTTGTTGCTCCATATCCAACACGTTCCCGGGTTTTTACCACAATGTTGATTGTTTTTAGAGGTTTAATATCACTCTGAGGCTTCCACCGCCTTCGCAGTGTTCAAATAACTCTCCATGTGTCTCAGATTGCTGTCGCAGCATCTTTCACTGAGAAGCTTTTATTTTGTTGAGTTGATAACACTCTGCTTCTCTTTCATTATGTTTGGTCACATGCATGCAACACTGATGTGCAGTGGATCAACAATAGCTCTATCAATAATATTAATTAGTGATAGTGATATTAATAGTCTGACAATAAAAGTACTGGTAGAATTACAGTCAATGAAACAGCCCTTTATATCAGCAGTAATTGAGGAAGGGGGGGGGGGCTGCAGTTTGTACACTATAGTATCAGTATAGGCTCGATATAATATCTTATCAGTAACAACAATATCTGTAAATGTATTGCGTAAAACCTCTGTTTATATCGTGTCTTCACATGTCGTAAAAAAGCTCTATATAATACATAAGCGTTCATAGATAATAATGCATGTATCCTATATTTATTTTCTGTAACGCATGCATAATGCTCTTGTAGCTTACTTTATTATTAATGTGAGTATTTGAACTTACAGTGGTCTCCTGTATAATAATGGCAGCAGCTGATAGGCCGTAGCAAAGTCGTTACAGTTTCTTCCGTCATTTCACATTTATTTTTATTTCCTTGCGTGTAAACCTCTTAGGATATATTATATCATAACAAGGGGACATATATAATAGGTCTAACATGTGTCCAATGTGTCCATAATATACTCGAGAGAGAGACAATGATGTTAATGCTTAATATAATTGAATATAAACTCCCTGTAGGTTAATACAATCCCTAGAAAATAAAGCCCTCAGTGTGAGTATGTATTAATGCAGCAGTACATCAGGTACTTGTGTAGTAGTAGACTGTATATACAGAGAGTACACTGAAGAAGTAATGTCATCTCTTATCTTGGATGTAAGGTGGGAAATAAAAGAAAAAGTGAAATATTTCCTGTTCAAAATATTAAAAAAAACATCCTTTAATTGTAAAATGTACTATTTATTTTTTCCACAATTATTAGTATCAAAACGGCTGAAAAAAGAAATGTCTCAGCGCGTGCTCTCCGTTGGCCTCCAGCTCTCCGCGGTTTATTGAACCCTCACTTGTCACTGAAAGTGTTTCTGCCTCCGGATCACTTCTCCTCCAACATGGAGCCGCCGGGAGGAAATCTTAAAACCCCTTCCAGGAAGCAGAAACCCTGACATGACTTTTACGCTTCTCCGGCGCGCACTTTTACGCACGGAGAAATCGGCTTTTGGAGAAAACAGAATCCTCAGCCTCAGTGCGCGCATTCAGTCTGCTGCTGCTGCTATCTGACACTAAAATCACCTCGGCGTGTCCTGACCGTGTCCGCGTGCCCTCCACATCCCCTCTCCTCTGTTTATTTTGCCTCAGACTTCTGGATGTAAACAGTTTTGAACACGCCGAAGGGGAAAATATTTGAATCGGAGGAGTGTAAATATGAGGAGCGGCGGGGATTTGGTGTACGCATGCACGGTGTGTGTTTTCCAGCGACGGGGTTTAGTTTAGCTGGGGGG